GTTATTGACTTTCCTTCATTGGAAGGGTCAGGTTTCCTTTTGAACTCGTTTAAATCTGAATGTTCTTTGCTCAAGGATTACCTAATATCGAAAGTGAACTGTTCGCAGACGGCAGACAATCAAACACTGGTCAAACAAGATGTGTTTGTGAAACACTGATGCCCCCATATGGCAACTTATAGCAAAAGTTAAACTTTCTCAAATGCAAATCAAATGCGTTGGTACCCAAAGTAAGGTCTTGTCTCGAGGAATAAACCTGTGAAACCATTGAATAGATATGGAAAAGGTTAAAGGTTTTTTCTAAAGTATGTCAAACATCAAGGTCAAGGTCAAATGGTCAAAATTAATGATGTCCAAGGAAAGAGCTTCTCCCAAGAAATGCACAGTTGAAATATGAAAGCAGAAGCACCAATCGTTCTAAAGTTATGACCAAGGTTAAAGTTTTCCAAAAGTAGGTTAAACTCCAAATTCAAAGAGCCAAAATTGTTGGTATCCAAAGATAGGTCTTGTCATAAGAAATACATATGTGAAGTATAAAAGCCCTAGCACCAACCGTTCAGAAGTAATGGCCAAGGTTAAAGTTTTCCAAAAGGAGGTCAAACTCCAAGGTCAAGGTAAAAGGGTCAAAATTGTCGGTATCCAAAGAACGGTCTTGTCACAAGGATTACGTATGTGAAGTATGCAAGCCCTAGCACCAACCGTTCAGAAGTTATGGCCAAGGTTAAAGTTTTCCAAAAGGAGGTCAAACTCCAAGGTCAAGGTAAAAGGGTCAAAATTGTTTGTGTCCAAAGAACGGTCTTGTCACAAGAATTACGTATGTGAAGTATGAAAGCCCTAGCACCTACCGTTCAAAAGTTATGACCAAGGTTAAAGTTTTCCAAAAGTAGGTCAAACTCCAAGCTTAAGGTCAAAGGGTCAACATTGTTGGTATCCAAAGGAAGGTCTTGTCACAAGGATTACTCATGTAAAGTATGAAAGCCGTAGCACCAATTGTTCAAAAGTTATGGCCAAGGTTAAAGTTTGGTAAAATTTTGCAAAACTGGGTCAAACTCCAAGGTCATGTTCAAAAGGTCAAATATGGTGGTACCCAAAGAAAACCAATTACGCCTCTTTTTTAGCACTTACTCTGGCCTTCAACATTTAGATATACCGAGGACATATTATCAATTTACAATAGTTACTTACATTTATATGTCGACTCGGTATACCCCAGTTGAACGTGAAATAAAAGAGACCACAGAGTCTGAAACATCTGTTTCATATTTGGATATTTTACTCTAAAAAGGTGTTAATGGTAACCTAACAATAATTTTTTTTGATACACGAGATTACTTCAACTTTTCTTTCCTCAACTTTCCTTATTTATGTATCAATATACTCTTATCATACATTTGGAGTATATGCCTCCCAGTACGCAGGAGCATGCTCTATGTACGAACAATTTCTAAAACAAGGCAAGCTATTGACGAACAACTTGATGAAACAAGGATATCAACAATATCGATTGAAGTTCTATGATCGATACTATGGCCATATGCATTCTATCATTAAGTAGACTGCTTACTGAAGTTTTTTATACTAATTGTTAATCCATCATTTAAACACTAAACTGTCTACGAATTTTCCGTTTTCCCGATCATAACAATGAGAACACGGAGTGACCGGTCGACGTGTGTGTGTATTGTAAATATGTGGGGAGGGGGGGGGGGGGCTTACACCTCAATCAAACCTAATCTCACCTCTGATGTTTTTGGAGGTCCGTGTTTGCTCTGCTCCAGACCTGTTTTTTTTCAATGGACTTTAGAGCTTGATAACTGTTCTAACACAATAACTTAACGTGTTTGGATTAAGAAGATCGGAGCCAAGATGGCGAAAGCGATCGATACTCGGTGCACACATCTTTAGTAAGAGAAGATTCACATATTTGGTCATAGCAATTAGTTAGATTGAGTGTCACATCATCAGTCCGCCCCTAAGGAAGGTTCTGTCTCCTATCTTATAGGATACGACGATGTCATTTGCTTATGTGAACATGTAGAACATGGAGAACTTGTATATTCTTTGATAAATTTGATCAGTGCATCTTCCCCAAAGTCTGATTGGAAAGTGAATGTTTTAGATGACACATCATAAAAACATATTGTCCGTTAAATGAAGACCTTCTTCTTACTTATATCCCCTTAGAACATTCTAGAAGAAGAAAAATAAAGTATGTAGTTCGTGTGTATGTATTTCCAGATGTTTTACTCCTTAACTTCTTTTAAAAATCAGCAGGATTATTAACTGACATATTATGGTTCCAACTGTATGAAATTTATTGTAAATAAAATGAAATTTATTGTAAGTATGTGTTTCAATATAAAAGAAGTCTCAAAGGTATAGATCATAGCCGGTTGGAGCGGGAGGAGTATAGAGGTGGAAAAAAAACGATCTTAAAAGATATATCACACAACCGGGGGTACCGGATGTGGTGTAGAGTCATAAAACACTTTATTACCAATGTCATGTTTCTGACATTAAATATTTAATAGACACTCATAGACACTACGATATTAAAATATAGGCCTAGATAAATGTTGTTTTATATTCTTTTATGTGCTCCATGGAATGATTTCAAAACACAAACTTCTACATGTACAAATTTAGCTTGGCAGTAAATACCAGTGAGGCAACATAGGCAACTGCCTAGACCTGACTGAAAATAAATAAATAAATAATAAAAAATAAATAAGTAAATATATAGTTCATTGGATTTATTGCATTAAAAGATGCGTAAAATTAAAAGATAAAAGAAATGTGTCCATTCCGGGGTTTTATTTAAATGTAAAGTAATGTGGGGGTGGGGTCCACACCCTTAGGGGGCGACCATTTGATTCTAAAAGGAGGGGCTGGAAAATTTTTCGAGTCACATATTATATAATTTCATGCCAGTGAGGGACAGGTTATATATTTTCAAGATGAGCAAGGACAGATTATTTATTTTCTTCTTCGCTAGAAAAAAAGGGTAAAATGCCATCACTCTATTTCCGAAAAGGATGGGGATTTGGGATCGGGTACCACCAGTGAAAGGCAGATTATTTTCTTGCCAGTCGAGGACACATTATTTATTTTCCTCATTTTCGAGGATAGATTATTTATTTCAAAACTCTGCCAGCACCCCATGCCCTCCCGGGAATCAAATGGTCTTCCCCTAATCCCATAAGTCCTGTAAGCTATAAAGCTTCTGTTCATTAACAAGTCCCCTCCCCCCGAAGGGTCATTGCTGGGTTTTACCCTGAGCTGAAATAGGATCCCATTTACGACCAAGTAAAGCATATAGACGGGGTCTTTATGGGGATATTATTTAATATTCAAGTTTATTACATTTCCAACAGTGAAATACTGTGTATATTTATGGAATAAAAGTGATGTTCTGTCATAGTGTGAAAGGATATCAAATTGGTATTCTCCCACAGTGTGAAAGGATATCAAAGTAAGTAAATTATAATTTCTGGCCTATCTGGAGATAGAAACTAAACCATCCTGATAGAGATTAAAACTGCCGATTTCTTCCCAGTTATGTTGCTAAAATCCATCTTACAATGTTTTCACTCTCACAATTGCTAAGCTATGTCGTCTCAACTGCATGACATTTACTTTCAAGCTATTTCTGTGAAGTTAAACACGGAAGCAAATCTATAACAGAAGCTACACGGAAGATGGACTCTGACCAGTAGAGCTAAAAAAAAACGTTCAATTTTTTTCCTCTAAAATATACCTTAAAACAGTAATTTTCACTTGTATCAATTCTTGAAATGCATATATTTTATTTATTTATTTTTGGGCATTTTCATATATTGTTGTTTCAAACAAGTAACAAGTACCCTTCTTCTCTTTTTCTTTAAATTAGTTTTATTTTCAAACACAATTCAATCAAACAATACATTATTTCTTTTTTTATTAGAAACATAAGACAAAAAAGCAATCGAATCCAAGATCTATTGCCGTACATAAGTATATATCCTTATGTTGATACTTAAAACGCCACTGTGTGTTCGTTTACAGTGCCCAATAAGGAAGTTTTATTTCGAGATAAAAATAGCATCTCCTGCCATCCGCAGATTCCGACTCAAGTTTTATTTCTCTTATGATAGAACAGTACATTATTAGGAACGACAATTAAGCTCATATGGCACAAAGCTAGCCTGAGTTAGCGTGGTTCTGAATTTCTTCAGATCTTCAAAAGTTTTTTCCCCTCTATACCGATGGGAAATTTTTAACCATATTTTGCTAGCTTATTAGATAAGATACCCTTGGCCCATAAAACATAGACCAGCTCACTTTTGGTCTCAGTCTCACTTTTCCACTATTAATTCTTTTGGTAAAAGTGAGACTGAGATCCAAAGAGAGCTCGTCTTACTTTTATGGCCCCAGATCCTGATCTAATTGAATTCATTAAAAAAAAACGGTGAAACTACCATATTAGTATGTTCAACATGCCCTTGCTATTCTGGGAAAAAATATTAAAAGTTTTTTCCCCCGCTGGTATTCAAGAAATATGGAAAATATTATCGATTTTAGCCGTATAATAGGGTCTACAATTTGAAAAAAAATATTCACACAACTTAGAATTATTTGAAAATTATTATTTAGTTTGGAACTTCAACTCTTTAAAGATTTTTTTCGTTGAATTTCTTATATTTCACATTTAACACTTTAATCACCTTGCTTGGCACCACTATATTCCCAGGGGCTATGATCTGAGACTACTTGCATCTGCAATTTTAAATCTTTATTTGACTAATCATTGAATTTCTATTCTTAAGAAGATTTATGAATATTTATTCCCTTATGTTTTATTGTACAGCGCTTTAGAGTAATTTTATTAATATTTAGCGCTTCATAAATTTATTTTATTTATTTATTTATTATTTTTTAAAATTAAATTCCGCGTCTGTGCAAAATCATGATTGAATAAATATGCTTTTTTGAGAATTAAATAACTGGTATTTCTACTCTAGAAAACATCGCCTTAAATATGGAGTATAAAGGCATTGCTTCAAATAGTTATCCATTTGTTGGAAAATATGCTGCAGACAAAGCTGTAGATGGACACCTTCAAGAGAAAAGTGGTGAAGATACCTGTAGTTTTACACAGGCTGAAGTATCAAAAACAGCATGGTGGAAGTTTACTCTGAGACGGTTGGCTAACATAGCATACTTACAAATCTACTTTAGAAAAGGCAGTAAGTATGTAATACCTACAAGATCAGTTTTCCAATGTTATTTATTAATGTAATGATTTCAGCGATTATTTTGTTTTAAATAATTTGTCATTCTTTAATTAAATCAGAAACTTGTACAAAAGAATCTTTAAGAAAGAATAGATACTTCTTCAATTCAATAAATTAAAAAAAAATGACATTTTTAAATTCAAGATAAGCTTGTATTTGATGATTTCCTTTCTACTCTCAACATACACAGTTAGAAGTAGGAAAAAAGCTTGTGGACATTTTAAACTTATTTCTTCTCTGTAGGAGTGAAATCAAGTTCAGAAACATATTAAATCACAATCCGGTGGGCTTCTTGTATCAACGCTTACGCTAGTTTCCAAAAAGCTTCGTTCAAGCTAGAATAAATAAATGGAAAAAAAAAACTCGAATATTTTTTATCACAAGCAAACAATAAGATTGGGTAAATGATAATTATTAATTCAGTTTTATCATTTAATTTTTATCTCCAAGATGTTGACTTTTAAATAATTTTACGGATCGGTATGCTCATATACCAATACTTTGAATTGCAATGTTTGATGTTGTGCTTCCAATCTTTTATCTATATATATATTCCATCAACTTATTAAAGAAAGTACAAGACTACATCGGTAAAGTATATCAAATACCATATTTTTTGTTAAGGATATAATGATATAAAGAAGGCACTTAGATTGAATTATCAGATCAAATTATTCTTCAATAATGCTTTCTATTAAGGTTTTCGTTAAGGCATCAATTATTTTTGAAGCTTTATTACATATTTAGATGTTAATGTTTAAAAAATTAAAATTAAAAAATGTATTTGATGTTCCAGATATCTGTTGTAATCTATTATTAAATACTTTGTTGTTACCTAAGATTTAAGATCTTATGACTAGATTTCTTCCCTGCTGAAGTTAAATTCTGCATGATGAGCAGCACTGTATTGATACTTGAATTACTTTATTTTAAAATTGAAAAGATAACAAACATCTCATCTGTATTTTGCACTTTGGAAAGTAATACGGAAAGAGAAATATCAAAGGTTTATTTAAACAGTTTCATTTGGCCACTGATCAATGACAATGTTATTTTATTGCAATAAAGATACAGATACATATAACCACGCTTATCACAAAAATGCCAGGGACGGATGATTTTGCTTCGTTATAAGTGTAAATTCGTTATATCCGTTAGGTTCACAATATATTTCAAAGTCACAGGGGAACGGAAATAACTTCGCTGTAAGCGTAGCACCAATTCATTATAAGTATTTTCGTATAAGCATATTTTACTGTATTTAAAAATAATTCACATAAGTAATTAGTACTGTTAAGTTACCTATCATTTTTTCAGCTGTGAATCGCCATACAGGGTTCTCTGTGTTCGTATTCAATGAATCATCATACACACCACCGTCTCATAATGGAGCAAAAGTGTTCACTCAGAATCGGTTATCTTGTCCATCGCAGGAGATGAGAGTGGATGTTAATAAATTGGCCAAGGGAATAGCAATCTTTAACTCAAAGGACCCTCCGCTATCGACAAGTTGTGAAGGATATGAACCATCTTTTGCTACCACTGAGGTCTGTGAAGTAATGGTTATGGGTACGTACTGTTTAAAGGGGGAAAAAGATTTTTAAATTGATTTCTGCATGTTTTTATTATTTTTAAGAGTCCTAATAAATCCTTAATTACAAATATCATTAACAAGCTAATTCAGAGAATATGTGTCCCCCGCTTAGGGAAAAAAACTGCATGCGTAGTGGGGGGGGGTCACAATGCCCCCCCCCCCCTGTATTTGTAGAATTATTAAATGTATACATTTATATTGAAGCAAATTAAAAAAAGCCAATATGATTATAAAGATTTGATCGCTTATTCTTTGATATGTGTATAGAAGATTCTTTTTAATATACTATATACAGAATATTTATCACACTGTAATAATGATTTTATGCGTTTGTACACGCCAGACATCATAACTTTTTCATTTCACATGTTGAATAGTATCATTTAGTAAATCCAAAAACAAAAACAAAAAAAAAAAAACAAAACAAAACAAAACCAAAAAAAAAAAAAAAAATAAAAAAAAATAAAACAAAACAAAACCAAAAAAAAAATTAAAAAAAAGGAGAAATGTCCGGGGATTGAACCCGAGCCTCTCGCTTGCTAAGCGAGCAACATACCACTAGACCACAGAGGCACTTGAATATACAGCAAATTAAATGCAAACACATTAAGTCACGTTTGATATTGTCAAAATTTTACACAATAAATGTTGTCTAATTTAGCCTTTACTAAACAGTTCTAATAGATGTAATTAGAATATAAAGTCCGCCGACAACCTGTGTTATACGTAATAACTCTCGGCATGCCCCTGTGCTAAAAAAAGTGCCAAGCGACTTTTAATACAATAAATAAATAAAAAACGGGGCGGGACACTTTGAGAGGGGCAAGAGAGACCCTAGGGAGTTCTGGTATAAAATTTCATTGCAAAAGCTCAAAAGCTTCTTGATATATCGCCCGGAAACGAGAGTGTTACACACAGACGGAATTTATGAATTTACGACCTTGAACTTTGACCTTTTGACCTCAAAATAAATAGGAGTCTTCCTAAGGGCACAGGGAGTTGTTATGTAGAATTTTACTGCAAAGGCTCAAAGAATTCGCGAGATATCGCGCGGAAACGGAATTGTTAAAACAGACAGAATTTATGAATTTATAACTTTGACCTTTTGACCTCAAAATAATTAAGGTTCTTTTTTAGGCCATGGGGAGTTGCTATGCAAAATTTCATTGCGAAAGCTCAAAGGGTTCTCGAGATATCGAGCGGAAATGAAAGTGTTACAGACAGACAGAAATACAGACGGACAGAGACGGACGGACAGACAGACCCAAATTAATATCCCCCACTTTCAGTGAAAGCGGGGGACAAAAAACATTGGTTCAAGAGTTCAGGTCATATCGCTTACCGGTATTATGACATCATTGTATCGAATATTTCACTACCGGTTAGTCAAAATATCTCGGTGCAGTCTTGACATACCTGCTTTATTTCTTTCTTTTACATTATAATTCTTTCCTAGGGTGTAAATCTCATCATTACGGAGAACCCTGTGTGTCATGCTCAACGAAGTGTTTAAATAGACAGTGTGATGTTGATGATGGATCTTGTATTTATGGCTGTAGTGCCCGCTTTATGAATCCACCTGGTTGTTCTAGTAAGCAAAAATTAGTCTTTTTGGGGAAAGCGTTTATATGTTTAAATCTGGCATAAAAAATATCACGTTTAATTGATTTATTTGTATATTTAAGGTCAGACGACACGTACTTCTAATATCTATTTTGTATCTCTTCGTAATATATAAAAAGTATTAATAATTATCATCATCTTGTGATTTCAAGAATTTTTTCCCAAATGTCTTTAAAAAGATGCACGCCAAAACTGTTACAGTTGTAATTCAATTCATATCCAATAGGATTATCTAGGAAGCACCAACCTCTGGTATCTTGCACAAATGTCTGATAAGGTACCACAATTTTTGTGAGTAAAATTGTTGATGTTCCATTAATTACAAATACTTGGGAAAAATATACATTTATTGACTGGGTTCTATTGCAACATGCGTTTTTGGGCCCAAGAACCAAACTGTTTTGCCGAAAGCAACCAGTTTGGTTTTAGGGGTCGACAAAACGCATTTACTCGAGACAGCAGTCAATTAATTGACATAATCTTGGACTGGCGTCCATGAATGCGATAATTGTTTAAATATAGTTGATCCCGCCTTCAGTATCATGTAAAAACATCATAGCGGTACAATATCTTATCGTTATGTCCAATATCTCCCAGCACAGTTAAGGCTGCAATAAGGAGGCGGGGCCTAATTTTTACGGGAAATGCTTACTATGACATCACACAAATGTATATGTTCTTCAAATTACCACAAAATGAAATGATTTGCTATTTTAAAACTGTTGGATAGCTTTAAACTACATCAATACTTACTATTGCATGTATTTTTGTCGTTGGTTTAATCCCACAGAGCAATATATAAACAATTCACTGATCGCAGTGCACTTGTCAATGTGACGTCATATCGCAAAATTTGACGCAGTTTGTGTGCAGTGAGAGGCGGATCAAGTTATATTTTATACAATGAAAAACGTATTTTGTAAGTAAATAAAATATATTTGAAGATATATAAGAGGCCATTAACTTGGATGCGATGTATATTTTATGATTTTAATCATATACCTCCCGTACATTTCCCAGACAAGCGATACTGCCGTATATTTGTATGCAGATTCATTGAAGGGTAATAGAAGGGTCGTAATAATTCGATATATTGCAAGGGCATACCCTCAATGAATTATGAAAAGCTTTTACACATAAACTCAAGAGGTATGAAGATATTCGAAAAGTGCTGCGAACCTGATGAAATCTTGCAAATGAATTAATTATATCTATATTTACTTGACCAGCAAATATTAAGCATACGGTCTAACAAACGTAATTTTAGCAGTCATATAGTAGAATCTATATAGGTTCGCAGCATTTTTCACAAACTACAAAGAGTGTTGAAAATAATTATAAATTAAACTTAGACTTTCAACGTGGTTATGCCCTTGCAATATTGGAATTTATAGATGACCTCAATACTGCAGGTATATTTGCGAAAATCACGTGACTGCCACATTACGTCACAAGTCTAGGTAAGAAATCTAATCGTCCCCATCATGTAGTTTTCAACCACATAACATTTGTCTGATAATAGTAAAGTCCTAAAAAGAATCGCCCATCCTTGTAAAGAATGTATTTTCTATATAAAAATTCGCCGTTTTTTCCATTTGTCACCTTAACTGTACTGCGCTCATTCAGCGGTCCAACATCAATCTGCAATCTAGTAAAATTACATTATAATTGTGGTTAATATTTTGTGAATGATAAAGCTTGTTTATTGAAAATACAGGTAAATGATGCATAAAGTTGAACCTTTTTATTTTCATCATTTGAAACCATGCATTTGTTGGACTTTATATGCATTCATAGAATTCATTTTACACTGTAGTTTGTAATATTGGCTATTATGGACAAAATTGTGAACATATGTGTGGTAAATGTAAACCTGGAACCTACTGTAACAACATCACAGGAATCTGTCCAAATGGATGTCAAAACCGCTGGAATGGATTAAAATGTGACGGTTAGTAATGTCATAATGTTACCAAAACACATTTAAACAGTGATCATCATACATGTTTTTTAAATAACATTCCTTCTTATTCAAAAATATTTACATCCATTGAATATTATTTCCTTTCTTTCTTAAAAACCATTGCCGTTTATCAGTCCGTAGACACCACTAAGCATACATGTATCGCCTCTACAGATTTCTGAAGCAGTGGCTGTTCCATCAATGAAACGGACAATGACGTGCTTATCAATAATACACCATTTGATCTACTTAATCCTATTTTGAATGAATATCTGCACAGATATAAATATAAACAATAAAATGTCTTTCGTCGTGTATTGCAGAAAAAAAAAAATACATAACCTGCTTACGCGGGTTATGCATTTTTCTGCAGCAGCTGCAACATTAATTTCCGTACTAACAACCAAAGAAGGCATTTAATTGTTTAAATAATTCTGTTGTAGTGTGTAAAAATGGTTATTACGACATCAATTGCACAAGGACATGTGGTCATTGTAAACCAGGAACATATTGTCATAATATAACGGGGATTTGTCCAGAAGGATGTGATGATCACTGGAATGGTTCTCAATGTGACAGTATGTGCAATTCAGAAAATCTATAAAGACACTGACCTGTATCAAAGCCAAACTTATATCTGGTTATCAACTCGGTAGAAAACATTCGTAATTTATGTGAAAAAATGATTTAAAAACTGTTTTGGAAAATCCAATTAATGTTATATTATTACCAATGCTGCTCAAATATAGTTTACCTATCCTTTGTCAATATTTGAACTTGGCATCTAAAAGACTGCATTTTACTATTCATTTGAAATTCTTTTGAACTCTACTAAGCCAAATTTCTATCACTTACAGTGTGCAGGAAAGGACTCTATGGTATCAATTGTGAAAACAAATGTGGGAATTGTATCAATGGAACTCACTGCAACTACATCACTGGAATATGTGCAGATGGATGTCAAAGGCATTGGAATGGATCCAAGTGTGAGGGTAAGTTAAAACACTCCTCTTTTTCTTTGACTAAGATAAGTACTGTGTCTTAGCCATCTTGATAACATGATTATGTTTTTGGAGATAAAATATCACGATAACGAACAGTAATCAAGCTCAAAAGTCCATTGAGACAATACAAATTTGGAGCAGTACAAACACGGACCTCTAAAAATATTAGAGGTGGGATCAGGTGTCATGGAAGAGTAAACATTACCTGTAAACCGGTCACATCCACCGTGTGCTCCTTGTCATGGCAAACGGAAAAATTCGTAGATAATTCAATGTGAAAACATGACCTAACAATTTGTATGAAAACATCAGTCAGCATTCGAATTAATGATAGATTGTATTTGCTGATAAGGTCATTGTATCGACCATAGAATTTGCGAACTGTTGACTTTAAAGGATACTGTTGATATTCTCGTTTTATCGACTAATTTGCCAATAGCTTGTCTTGTTTCAGAAATTGTTGGTAGGTAAAGCATGCTCTAACGTTTCGAATCAACTGAGAGACATAAACCTCACATGCAGGCGATAATGGTTATATTGCTACATGTGCATAAGTAAAGGAAGTTGATGTAGAAAAATTGAAGTCATCGTGTTGTTTTTGGGTTACCATTACCGTCTTTGTCTAGTAAAATATGAAAAAAAGTGTAAGACTCCGTGGTTTCTTTTATTTCGATTTCAAAGGAATATTTTGAATCATCTTAGGAATGAAAACGAATATTGTTAATTGATAAAACGTCATCAGTATATCTAAATGTTGAATTGAAGGCCACAGCAAGGCAGACTTCTTCTTTTCATGTAGAAGTTTTTGAATAAATTGTGCTTCTTCTGAATACAGAAGTAGGACTGCAAATAACCGAACACAAGAAAATTAGAATAATTCTAGTATGAAATACCTGCCTAAAAATGATAAACATATAAAAACTTTTGTATAATTTGTAATGAATTGTAAATAATCACGTATACAAATTTCAGCAAAGAAATAATTCTAATGAATATTTATTCTCGTCTTCATTTTCAACAGTACATTTGTTGGGTTCAAATACATAAATAGGGTTTTACTATAGTTTGTAAAGAAGGCTATTATGGACCTAACTGTAAACACACGTGTGGTAAATGTAAAGCTGGAACCTTCTGTGACAACATAACAGGAATCTGTTCAGGTGGATGTCAGAAGCGTTGGAGTGGATCAAAATGTGACGGTAAGAACTGACTCATTTTATTATGTGTCACACACTTTTTTATACATTATATACTATCTTTGTCATCAGCAAAAATACATTTGTTTGTTTTACATGCACCCATAGAATACATTTTACTGTAGTTTGTAAAGGTGGTTACTATGGAAACAAATGTGAATATACTTGTGGTCAGTGTAAAGCTGGAACCTTCTGCAACAACATCACAGGAAACTGCCCAAAAGGTTGTCAAAATCGCTGGGATGGATCAAAATGTGAAAGTAAGAAAGGATGGATTTTTATAACATTGCCTAAAGACTTTTTTCAGAGCTCGTCCCATCAGAAAAATTCACTTTAATGTGCATGTATTAGTTAAAGGGGCATGGACACAGTTACATTGCTGGTTTTATTTAAAAAGAAGTATGTCACATAAGAAGATCAAACTGTAAGATTTAACTGTCTGGAGGTTGAACAATTCTGAAGCATAAGTTTAAATTTTTCACAACAATTTCATATTTCCAAAATTACCGGGCTAGAATTGTTTTGAAACCATACCTTCTTATTTTTATTTCCCAATTATTTCAAAAAATAACTTCAGTTTAATGAATTGAACTATGTGAATTTAAAAAAAAATTAATGACAACAGTATAATGCAAACACCTGTGTTTGTAAACAAGATACAATTTATGTTTTTGTTTACCTTTTAACAAGTGTTTTGGATTTACTAACACTTTACACACATCACTGAACATCTTTCTTTTTCTAGTCAGATTTTTTTTTATTGATTATAGTGTTATTGTTTTTTTTCATCAGTACATCGCCGAATTCCAACTTTTCTTACATGTACATATTAAGGATAAATTCAACTGTGTTAAAATGCAACAATGTCTGACAACCAAAGTCTACTGGAATTTATATTTCTTAGTTTTCAGATATGTGTTAAAACCTTTTTTATGATGTGTCGGTCTGAAACGCTCTTACAATATGCAAGTCATGACATTCTATGGAATTGTTTTTAAAGATCTGAACGTCAAATCTGTGTCAAGGCCCTAAGACCATCAACTAAGAATAGACTTAAATCAAAACTTAGATGTGAAATATCTTAAATTTTTATTCAACAGAAATGTTTCAAATTTGCAGTAGATTTAACAAAAACAAGTGTTTAAAAAATTTGACTCATTATGAACAGTTTTTCAAAAGTTACATTAATTTGAAAATTTTATCTATGTTCACATTTATGGTCATCGGGATGGCCCCTTTTATGAGCTGTTTAAACACATTTACAGGGTGTGAAAACGGTTTTTACGACGACAACTGCACGCAGACTTGTGGGTATTGTCGATCTGGAACATATTGTCATAATATAACGGGGATTTGTCCAGATGGATGTGATGATCGTTGGAACGGTCCTAAATGTGACAGTATGTGATTCGTAAAAATCTATGAACATAATATCATGGAGCATGACAAAAGTCAAGTTTAATGTCGATAGAAACTGTCTCAAATGTACGTGATAAAGTGAATGATTAAATACGTGTATTCTACTTTGAATTTTAAAAAAGTATATTTTATAAGTGCTGTTAAAATACAACTTACCTTTATCTGTATCAGTACGTATGAGACTGCGAGTAATTAAAAATTCTTTCGACCTTTTCCGAGTTCATCACTTAATGCTTGTATATATGTATGCAGTGTGCAAGAAAGGATTCTATGGTACCATTTGTGAGAACATATGCGGGAGTTGTAAAAATGGAACTTACTGCAACAACATCACTGGAATATGCGCAGATGGATGTCAAATTCATTGGAATGGAACTAAATGCGACGGTAAGGGTAACATCTTTCCTAATTTCTGTACTACTTTGTAGTTCAAATTTTCGTTGTCATTCTCCTCCATTCTTTGTACGTCTTTAAGGATAGTGGTTTTTGCAAGAATATTCAAAGGTATAATTTCGCGGGCGGAAATGTATTTGTTGTATTTCAGTGTGTGAAGATGGATTTTGTGGACCCAGTTGTGAAAAATCTTCCTTAGTTTCTGTATTGCACTGTACTTAATACATTTCTTTGTCATTCTTCATTAGTTTGTGAAAATGGATTTTTTGGATCCAGTTGCAGTGAAGAGTGCAGATATTGTAAGCAAAATGTATGCAACAAAGATAACGGGCACTGTATGATAGGATGTCAGGGAAATAGGAAAGGTGTCAAATGTGATTGTATGTATTAAGGTTGTCAATCACCTACTTATTTACTTTTTTTATTTTTATTTTTTTACATGATTTACTACTCAAACAGCTATTGATATAAAAAATTAAGAAAACAGAATTGTTATTTATTTTCTTAAGAGTAATCTTATCTCTTTGATTCCAAACGCAGTAAACTCTCTGAATAAAATACATAAATACCTATATTTCCGATTGAAAAATATGATTTCCTCCGAGAAAAAACAAACTGAGAATGTAAAATCGTTTAATACCTTATACTTATCTAAAAAAAAAAATATATTCTCCATTTCAGCTTTGTCTTTACCCTTTAAAGGAAGCCCTAGTGGAGTTATTGGAGGGGTCATTACATCATTAATTATATTTATAATGTTAGTGATCTGTACTGCTATATTTGTAAGGTATGATGTTCTACGATGTGCTTCTACTATTTTACAAAAAAGAATGTTCGCCTGGAATTTCTTGCTTAATGTTAGATATTGTCTTTCCTTTAAAAAAAAAGACTACCTTAGAAACGATTTAATGTAGTAATTAGCCTAAACAATTTGCATCTGTGACAGTAGAGGGATCTGTAGTTGTATTGGTTTCATATTTTTTTTTCTATGATGTCTTAAATGGGATGAGAGCATGTAGTGATTGTAGTCAATTGAATGACAGATTTTTCAAAGGATATTGAAAAATAATTTCAACTAGAATATTACTACCAACAAACAAAGATGCATTGTAGGATCCAGCAAATGCTCAACATAGCCCTTATCTGTATTTATTCATTTATTTTCATTGAATTTATGTGTCTCAATTTGCCTATTTTATTTGAAGACGAAGGTTGAAAATCATAAATGAATCAAAAGAAAGAAGACGTTCAACTGTGAAATCCGAGATTGAAAGCAAAATCACCTACAGAAAACAAACAAATATCAGCAGTAAGTAAGCCTGATCAACTAAAAACGTAGCACTAAAGGAGATACAAACAAGAGACCATGTATTCCTATATAAAACTTTGATAGCCCATTGTGGCACCATCCTACAGTAGGTGGTCTTGATTTGAACAATCTAGAATCTACACTACCTAAGTATTTTTATTTATATAAATTTGACTAATCATGGCTTTGCTCTTCTTAGAAGAATTCCTATGTAAAACTTTGATCCCCCATTGTGGCACCACCCTAGCTGCAGATCTGTAGCTTGCTGGTCTGAAAAGAATTGGGAATGGACGACCAGGGAGCTATCCATTGAAAAAAGTGTACATGTACGAGGGGTGATCAAAAAGTGAGAGAACTATCTCTATATTTACAAAACCACAATTCAGTTCAGAATGAAATTTGGCACACTTATAGTCATACACATGTTCTATAAATAGCAGATGTTATATAATGTTTAACTCCGTGTTTGTGACGTCACAATGAGAAAATGACGTCAATATGTAGGTGACATGACAAAAAATGGTTGATCAGTCGTACTCGAGCAACGAACGGCTGTAAAGTTTTACGTATATCTTGGAAATTCCCTTGCAGTAGAACATGAAAATTTGTACAAGGTTTATGAAGACAAAAGACTTACCAGAGGTTCAATCATTAATTGGATTGATTGTTTTAATGAAGATAGGGAGATGGTTAAAAATGATGTTTGTTCTGTTGCCCAGTGAAAGCAAGCCGGGAAAAAGATGTGTCCTTAGTTGAGCAATTTGTTATGAAAGATCGCCAAGTTACAATTAGAAAAATAGTTGAATATCTTAACAATAATATTATTATTAAATCACCAAAATATCGTTTACTTTAGACTTTAAACATATGAGATATGAGAAAAAGAAGGCGCCAATACTTTATCCACATTGGATAATCGACGCTCCCGAGACAGAGACTCGGGTTGTGATGGTCACCATGCTAATTCTGGGAAGGGGTATCCTTATCCACCCATCCTATTGTCGAGATTTGGCCATTTCTGACAGATGGACTGTTCTTGTTATAAAAAATAACTTGCATGATAAGGGATATAAGACACGGAAAAATCTTTCAGCTTGTGTGAACAGACCGCTAAGGAGCTTGTCACGTGACCGCCTGGATCACGTGATTTGCGCATGGGCAGAACAATGGCAGATGTACATTAAAATCGGAGAGGACTACTTTAAAAAATAGTGAACTCTGAAATTTGATTTCTTTTAAGGAAGTAATTCAATTAGTTCGCGAACTTTTTTGATCACCCCTCGTTTATTTATTGCACCAAAAATTGCACTGTTTCTTGATTTTATTTCACTGTATATATCAAAATATTTCTAATCGCGTGCTCCTAACATATTCTTTCACTACTTCCATAACAAAACTGTATATACAAGTCGTGTACGAAGCGCGTTGGACAGAATTATCTTGCCACGCAATATAGCAGTATAAAAGGGCTAGATTTTCGATGGTCTCAACTCCAGACCAAGGAGGTGTATTAACAACGGTTTTTGAAATGTTTTATTATGGCAGCTGTGAAAAATATGTTAGGAACACACGGTTTATAATGTTTTAAGATGGCAGCTTAAATATACGGAGAATTAAATCAGGAAACAGCGCACTTTTTTTTGCGCAATAAATTTACATTTTTTAAGGAGTGGCAATATTAATGTAGCTCTCTGGCCCTCCATTCCACTTTTCTAGACCAGCTAGCCACAGACCTGCAGATAGCCCTACTCTACCCCTGGGGGTCTGATTTGAACAAACTTGAATCTTCACTACCTGAAAATGATTCCATGTTACAATGTCTAATCATGGCTTCGCTGTTCTTGACGAAAACTTTTCGAAACAATTTTTCCTATATATTCCGATTTCCGATGTCAAACTTTGATCCCCTTGTAGTCCCACCTACCCCCGGCCTCTGTCATTTTTGAACATTACTTTTTGCAAAGTGATTCTTGAGAAGAAGATTTCTTAAAGATGCGACCAAATTTTCACTTATTAGCTTACTCGAACTGAAATCTCGTGAGCTTTTCCATCCGTCTGTTTGTCCGTCCGTCTGTAAACTTTGCATATTTTCAACTTTTTCTCAAGAACCATTAGGCCAATTTTAACAAAAGTTGGTACAAAGCATCCTTGGGTAAAGGGGAATTTAAATTATTAAAATGAAGGACCAAGTCCCCTTCCAAGGGGAGATAATCAAGAAAAGACAAAAATAGGGTGGGTCATTAAAACATTTTCTTCTAATTTTCTTCTCAAGAACCACTGGACAAGAAAAGCTGGAACTTATGTCGAAGCATGCTGGGGTAGTGTAGATGATTCTAAATTGTTCAAATCATGGCCCCGGGGCTAGTATGGGGCCACAATATTGAATCAAAGTTTCACATTGAAAAATATAAAAAAAAATCTTCAAAAATCTTTTTCTAAAGAAACACTGGGTCAAAAAAGCTTAAAATTATGTAGATGCATCCTGAGGTAGTGTAGATTCTAAATTGTTCAAATCATGGCCCCGGGACTAGTACATGTATGGGGCCACAAAAGGGAATCAAAGTTTAACATTGAAACTTTGAGGGAAGCGAGAAAAAACTTATAAAAAAAGATATATCGAGGTTATAATACTTAAATAATAAGTAGTTTGGACTTCCAAATCACTTCGACATATCCATGATATTCAAGATATCAGTGTTCAAGATAACGACGTTTGACTCAAGAACGTTCCTGAGGTAGTGAAGATTCTAAATTGTTCAAAGTATGACCCCATGGGGTAGGGTGGGGCCACAATAAGTATTACAAGGGGAAAATCTTGTGAAGAACAGCAGGGCAAAAGTTACTCGGGTGAGCGTTGTAACCCATGGGCCTCTTCTTAATTATCTCCCCTTGAAAGAGGGTGTGGCTCTTCATTTGAATCCTCTACAGTCAATGATGCTTTGTTGTCCGTTTGGTTGATATTGGCCGCGTGGTTCTGGAGAAGAAGTCGAAAATGTTAAAAGTTTACAGACAGGCAGACCGACGGACAGACAGTCGGGCGCCGAAAAAAAGTGATCAAAAAATCTCACTGAAAAGTGAGTTTAAATTTTGGTAATGTTTATTTTTGTGAGTACAATTCTTGTATTTATTCATAAATATTAATATTAAAAGGCAATTTGTCCCAAACGTCTCTTCAAGTACAATTGCCAAGTCTGGACTTCACTGGTGATTTTGAATACTACAACACAAGTCAAATTAGCAAGGATATAAAAATTGAGGACCTACAGAATTATATTGCAACAAAAAGCGCAGGAAAAGAAAATCCTTTTCTCATGGAATATAAGGTATTTTTTCGGGCAATTAGGTAAAGCTAGGGTTCAGTATAAAATACCAAGATAATCGTATTTATCAGATTTGTTGAGTGTGGATCTATTAGATATTTGAAAGTTGGATGGAATAAAGCTAATGTCTATATAAATACAAGATGAAAACTGATGCAAACATGTATAATTGACAATAACATGGTACATGGCGCATACAACATATTGTATGTAGAAGATTTTTTAAGATATAGTTGAACATATTCGGTTTTTGTATCCCTTCTTAAACCAGCGTAAGCGTAGAAAATCCCTTTTGTCTCTCAACCTGTTTGATAAAGTGCGTTTAGTTTAAACCTCTATCAACCCGTGCCTTGTAAAAACAATACTTCACACAAAGGTTTGCTTTATGACTTACATTACCGAAGTTCAAGATATCTCAAAGATCAGGGAAGTGAGCTAACAATAGTAGCTGATTCATATCAATAAACTAAATCAACTTACTACGTTAGATAATACATGTTCTTGTTCAAATGAGGTGTCTGGACTACAAAGCAATTTCCATGGTTTGTTACTTAGAAGTGAAAGATATATTTGCTTTTATTTAAGTAATTTGTCATAGCATTGACTTTTGTGTCATGACTAAATGATCAATATCAGTCTTTGAACGACAAAAATACGGATTTAAACGTATATCTCTAAAGTCCTGAAAAGATAACCCGATAATATTAATCATTGTCATATCAGTGGGCGTTGTAATCTTGAACATTAAATTTTTACTTTTTCTATGCATCTGTCAACAGTTGCTGAAGGAAATTTCTCAATATTTTAAACAATTAACCTTAATACAGGTCAAATTTCAAATACAGATGTAATATTGGTCGTTGAGATTGGAATAATGAAGTCACGAATAATGCTGACAATATACTTCAAATAAAGATACCCTAACCATATCTAGAAGATAAAAAAAATAATGTAGTCTGGTTGTAGTGCAGTTTCCGTAGTCAATGCTCTTATGATGTTATTGCAAATGATAAGATCCTTAAAAAGGTTTTTTTTCTTCTTTGCAAAGCAGTTTGTCATAATCTTGATTAAAGGTGTATTATTAAAGTTCAATGTTATTGCACCCTTTCAGTTTGTCAGGTGTATTTCATTTGAAGGCAGAAATAAAAATTTACTTAATTCTCTTTTTCTTTTTTAAATTTTTTTTTTCTTAACTGAGTTGTGCAATTACAGAAATTCAAGGTCATTTTCCAGACGCCAACATCAATGAAGTCTTGTTATGTCAGATCTCTGAAGATGATAATTAGAGATGATGTTTTCTTACGTGACAACCACTTCTCAGTATTTATTCATGAATAGAAATATTTTAAGGTTCAAGGCCTTTTTAGCTGCCTTAGTTAAAATTTTGCCAACAAATGAATCCGAAATATATCATCCCTTATAAAAATATTCGTTCTAATAGAAATATGATTTAATTGTATTAGTGAATACTATTTCTAAGTACGTATTTTGTTTAGTTTCCCCATTTTTTTACTGTTTGGAAATAAGTCCATTTGAATTTACGTATATATGCAAGTATTCAAAAATTCTCTTCAAGGTTCTGATTATAGTTGTAATATATTTTATTTTTTCCAGGGATTACCTCCTAACGATGAAAACAAGTGCCATGCTGCCCGAAGGAAGGAAAACGTCACCAAGAACCGATTTAAAACAACCTTTCCTTGTAAAAAGTCCCCCTATTGATCAGTGTCTTATTTACATTTCTGTTTGATTCCTCATTCAATGTTTAAGTAAAAATAGTAAAATGATCCCCAGAGACGATTTTTCTATGAAGTTAGAACCCTCGCCACTATTTTTCACATTTCATAAATTAAAAATAAAAAAAGCAGAGTCATTTTACACAAAATAATCAATCGTACTTTTTACCGAAGACAAAAATAACCGTTATCTGTAGTTTATATGGCATGGATTAATGTTTGTTGCTTAAAAATCTAATTATTTTTACTGAAATTTCCTTAATGAATTCAGTTTTTTCCACGAACAAATATGCTTGATCTTGGAAAATAGATACGATGGTTGTTAGAAAAGTCGCGGACAAGCGCGTAAAAAGAACTCAATGCGTAAAATGGCAACGTCATTAAACATCTTGGAGCACAGAGCTATAAAAATGTTTACAGACAGGAAAATGTCGGAAAGAGACTAAAATGTTTTTGGATGCTCCTGGGTCTTCTTACGCTTATCTAGGACCAAAGTGTTCAAATGGTAGTGGCTTTGTAAGAATGGAAGGATTGACAATTTTGATGATCAACTCCTGCGATACCCCAATATCCCCCGTATCGCATGGACGTTGAGGTTATGAATTTTGCATTATTTCCATACCCGATCGCTTAACTGCGTAGATATAGATTTTAAGATCTCACTTAATATCCGGTACGCCATAAAGACCTTTTAGAAAAAAGTAACATATCTTACTATAGTTAATATCCAATTTTTAAATAGGAAAAATACATGAAAAGTCGATATACCTGAAAGAAATTTAGAAGTGTGATAAAGCTTAACAGGTTCGGAATCATGTTGTCACGTCACCTAACGTCAAGTTTTTACTCCGTGAATCCTACGACCGCACAGTAAAATTCATTTTTTTTTCAAAATGATTTTAGTAAATGGACCTGATTTTTTACATACTAATAAACAAAAGATTAACATTTAATCAGACATACGTCATTCTTCAAAGTACACAATAAATTTTCCGTTAATCAATGTGTCCGCGAAATTTTCTAACAATCCTTTCTGGTAACGCAGAATATGTCGAAAACAAATAATTTATTTTCTGTCCCTTTTGGGTTATTTATATTTTTATTTTTTCAGTCTTTTCTTATAGAGAGATTCATTTCAAAATAATTTCATCTATGAAATTTTACTATTTCTAAAATGATATTAGCACATATACGTTAACAAATCACACAAGTGCTGTGAACTTGCTGTAATTCTTTTAAATGTTTTTAGATGACCATTCGAGAGTAATTCTTGAAGAGAAATGGGATGGACTTGACAATGATTACATAAACGCAAATTATTTAAAGGTATTTCGGCTTTCTCTTTGAGCAAAACATATTGTACCGTATATATGTGCAAGAAAAGAAATGTAATTTAATTACTTTCACCTTTTCAGGATTGTAATGGGGAAAGGCGCTTCATAGCAGCACAAGGTGATAAACTGCCTTTATCATGATTATTGTCTGCTATTTTTAATTTCATCACATTCAGTTCAGATTAGTAACGAATAAAACAGATAAATTTTTATGACCTTATTAACCTTTTTTTCTATGTTGATGTTTTGTAAAACTTTGTAAATGCCTGTTATTCATTAATGTTTACTGTGATAGTAAAAATTTTTATCAATGTAAAAAGCAAAATTTGCATTGTGATTTATTCATAGACTGAATTAAACAGCAGTTTTGACGGACATTGCGTGATATTTTTTTTCTATTTTTTCCTAATGAAACAAATATTGTAAAATTTAGTTAACGTGGTGAAAGTTTTACAGTTTGTTTTTCATGCAGGTCCACAAAATAATACACTAAAAGATTTTTGGAGACTGATTTGGCAAGAGGATATTGGTTGCATTATCATGTTGACTAATCTTGTTGAGAATGGAAAGGTATGTAGTGAATTTTTGCTATTTTTGCTAATGCTTTCTTCTTTACCAAGCACTTGGCATTCGTTTCCAATACGTTATGTTTCAGAATAAGTGCACGAAATATTGGCCAGATAGAAATCAACCTATGAATGTTGGTCCATGTAAAGTGTCTCTTTTGAAAGAAACTACGTATGCTTTCTACACGGTTCGACAATTTTCAATCCAGAGAAAAAATGTACATGTAAGTTTTTTTCTTCAAGTTTTACACAAAAGCTCGCCTATTTCTACACATTCTTTTGACAATGTATTGCTTTTGACAAACAAAAATATATTTGGTTAATTATAGTTTGGTGAATATTCATAAGTGCACCTCAAAGCGGAAAACTCTCTCGCAAAAAATCACATCCATCTTGATGTAAATGATTAATTTCGTAACCCCCACACACACACACACACACAGACACACACACAGACACAAATGCGTCACTTAATCCCCTTTAACTTCGTTGGGAGGTGATAATAATTATGTCTTTGTTGTATTTATAGTCGGAGGAAGTGAGAACTGTCAATCAATTTCATTACACAGCTTGGCCAGACCATGGCACGCCTGGTGCAATTGAACTGAATCAGTTCCACAGAACTGTGACAAAGAGTTGTCAACCAGGTCAACCGTTATTAGTTCACTGTAGGTAAGTGAATTTGGTCAGTTCCACAGAACTGTGACAAAGAGATACCAAACACTATAATTAAGAACACTTTGAAATTGCTTTCTAATATAAAGAAATGGTAAAAAAAATCATGTAATTGGATTCTTATAATGTGAGGTATTTTAAAATCATGCTTTTCAAGTTTTGACTATTTTTGACACATTTTGACTATTTATGACCATTTCGCAGTGCCGGAGTGGGGAGAACTGGGACATACATCGGTCTGAATGTGTTACTTCAAAAAGGGAGAGAGAAGGGGCGGATCAACGTTTTTGAGTTCGTGAAACAAATGCGAGAGGATCGTATGACCATGGTTCAAACAGTTGTAAGATGACCTGATTTTCTTATGATTATAGTATATAAAAAAATAAATGCTATTTATTAGCTCCGTGCTTAAAAATTATTGTCTTTATACCTTTAGGAAGATTTATTTTCTTTTTTTATCTTTATAAATCTTAGGAGCAGTATGTCTTCCTACATAAGGCACTACTCTGTGGATTTCAAGAAAGGGGGGTCATACTATCTGAACGTGACCTTCAAGCAAAAGTACTCACTTTGCTGAATGATACTTCACCTTTCAATCAACAAACTTTAACAAATGAGTTTCAAGTAAGTAAAAATAAACCGAGTAGTAGTAAATTCTGTGTGGATATATATAAAAGTACTTATTTCAGTGGTTTATAGGCTTTGTCATATCAAACTCCGCTCTACATTTCATGCACTTATTAAAAAGTACCTAACTATAATTTACATGTATGTAATGAATAAAAGCAAGAACCAACAAAACGAATCCATGATTGCATTAATTAGTCCTTACTTTCAAATGCGTTAAATATGAGCTGGCAGGGGGTAGTTTGTACTGGAGTACCAGTCAAAATTCTTTAAAAACTGAGATACCCTCTATTTGATGTGATATTTTATGTAGAAAAATTAAAAGAATCATTATGGGATACATGTACAGTGTAGCAGAGAGCTTGTTGAAAAAAATGATGTCCAGCATGTAGGTGTCACTATGATGCTTAGCATATGGAGAGCTTTAAATCCGAAGCATAGATATGTTGTCAGTTGCCGAGAAAATTCAGGTGGAAAGCAGTAGGGCTAAGAAGAAGGAGGTCTGTATCTCAGAGGGAAGGTAAATGGGTCCAGATCAATTGCATTTATCTACAGAGTACTGGGAATTTCATTTCCCTCACTCGGGACTGGGATGGGTTGTATGGGTGCGGATGAGGTCCAAATCTTAGAAAAACAAGCCAAAATCTGGGGGAGGCCCTAAAGTGCATTTTCGGTACGCTACGCATGCACTGTATATATTTTGAGCTATAGGTATATGAAGTGCAATTAATTTGCCCCCCAAAACTGTTCCAATATATCTGTTTTACTGACCTCACGTATATGCCTAAAATGTCCCTTTCCACCTGAATGCATGAAAAAAACTTACACACAGGGCATATACGGATGAATTAGTCATGAATTGTTGCTTTTTAGTAACTTTTTTGTGAAAAGCCATATTTATTAGAGGATAAATTTTTTTTTCTAGATTGTGTCTGCTTTCAAAGCCGTTGACGAGGATGGATCAAAGGAAAATGCAAATAAACTTGAGAATAGATCTAAAAATGTGGATATGGACATTTTACCAGGTATTAAATTGTTACTTTGATTGGTATTTGTTTGTTTTGCAATCTATTTCTATGTAATTATACATGTTTTTTTCTTTTTTAGTATCAAAATACCGACCCTACCTTACAACTTATGTTAAAGGAAGAAATGATTATATAAATGCAGTCATAGCTCCGGTATGCATCTCTCTTAATTTCTGTTCACAAACCTTGTATGTGTGTCTGGGCCTGCGGGGGTGCGGTTAATGGTGTTGCTTTTTTCGGGCAAACATGTAAAGTTAAAAACAGTACAGGAGAGAGGTGTTGCTTTTTTCGGGCAAATATGTAAAGTTAGGAATAGTACAGGAGTGAAGTTCTCTACTGTAATGTTTTAAATATATTTCAGACATTTACAAACCAAAATGGATTTATTATGACACAAAAACCTTTACTGGATACAGAGGTCGATCTGTGGCGATTGTGTATGGACCATGGAGTAACAGCAATAGTTGTTCTAAATGACTCTGACGAAGTATGTTAATTTCGCTTTTTTATGGATGTCGTTGAATATTTTCTTTCTTTTTTTTTTTTATAGAAAGTCCTATTTCAGTTAAAACCCTTTTTATATATTTTTATTTAGTTTTACAAATTTTAATGAAATAATTCTAATAAAATAATCTTTATTAGCTCTTTTTCCAATCCAGCTCTAAAAAGACTATTATTGTACATATCCTTAATTTACTTAAGGAAAATAACTGGCTGCCCAACAGAGGAGAAACGCGACACTGTCAGCCCTTTACCGTAACGGCAAAAAATACCGGAAGTGACATCAACGGTGTTCTCCAAGATAGTCTGCTGATTTCAAAGAACGTAAGACGGTAGCTTGTATCCTTGTAATGGCATATCCAATAAAAACCAAATCTCTTGAGTGGAAATTTGAATTAATACAAATGATAACCTATGATATTACTAAGTGGTCTGTATAAGCTATGTTGACTCAAATCATATCATTTTAAATATTAAGAAGTTTTATTTTTCATAAATTAAGAATCAAAAAGCACATGTCGACATCTACCAAACACCATCTGGCAATGACGAGGCTTTAGTGAAATGCGCAAAAATGCTACTTCAGAAAGATAATGCATCAACTTCAAGTTCTCTTGTCGTTAGCAAGTAAGATGATATAAGAATAACAATCCATATAAAAGAAAAAAAAACAGCATAAAATTTCTCTTGAGCAGAATGCTATCATTTCTGTTACTGAGTATATGCAGAAAAGTCGGGAAATACAAAACACAGAACACACTTGATAAAAATCACACCCGACCAAAACCATGGAATATCCTATACATTCCTGTGTTCTTTATAAAAAATAACATTTTTATCATTACACAAGATTTTTAAAAATGTAAACAAGATAATATTTGGCATGAATGGGAAACCTAAATATAAATGTCTTTACGCAATGCACTCAAAAGAACTGTGTTATTTCAAAGACCCACTGAGGTTTTCTTTTAATTTGCTTTTGATTAATTTGAAACAAAATAAAACATTTAATGTTATTAATATGATGCAAAACATAAATATGGAGCAACCATTTCTTCAGTTAAAACGTTTCGACACAGGGTTCAGTCTATCTACAGAGATGCGTAAAAACAGTGTCTGGCAATAAGTTTTAAATAAGGCTAACGATCTGCAGTGGTAATCTTTAATACACTTCTCTCAAAGGAAACTTTCGATATCATATATGATTTGTGCAAATGGATTTAACTTATGCATACTAACTAGACTAGGACTTAGTTACACTTGAAAGATTGGATCTGCTAGAAATACTTTTTTTCTTTTAATCGAAGTAGATATTCATTCACAAAATATGTGTCTTCTTTCCATACAAAATTATTAATAAAACATTTGACATGAAAAAAAAAAACGTTCTGGGGGCATACTTTTAATGATGCGATAACATGCATTGCAGACTTATTTGTTTTTTGTAATGAAATGATTTGTGAAATATGATGTTTCTTTCTCAAATAAATTATTTTATTTTTACAAAGGAACGGGGCTGGTCCAGCCGGCATATTCTGTATTTTACATAACGCCATTCAACAGCTTTCTATCGATGGAGAGGTAGATATATTAACAAGAGTCCGACAGATACAGACTAGGAGACCAGAAGTCATCACAACGCTTGTGAGTGTAGAAAAAGGCATATTAATTTACATGTTCCCAACTGATTTCTAACTGTTAATATAAATCACGGCCAGGAACACGTTAAGTTCTTAGACAGTACCGTTGTCAGAAACCTTTAAAGTTAAGCACTGAAACTGGTTCGTTGTCATGAACATACAGGTGAGGTTATGATAAAATCCGTCCGGTGTCATGCAAAAGATACAAGAATTTATACTTAATGCATAAAATTTAACGTTTCTGACAAATTCTAAGAATAAATTTGAATTTTGGGAAACAGATACAACATTCAGTATTCCATACAAAGATTTATGTATTTGATATCCTTAACACATTTTGAGGAGTTTTGGTTGGCGATCACATGCCCATGTGTGAAGGCATGATCGTGAGCTGGAAAATTATATGTTTCTTATATTTAATTCATCGAAATGGTTCTTTTATTTTAAAATATAAAGAGAAACTTCATTTTAAATGTATTAGGCAAGTGACAGCCTTTTGTAGCTAACATGTTTTAAGAAATCGCAATTTATAAGCAAAAAGTCCGTTGTCAGTACATGTTAAGTTTATCTGGTCCGGTGTCATTTTTCTTAACATGTAAGTAAATCATTAAATGCAACAGAAATGATCAAATATATGCTTAATTTAAATGAATACAAAACATATTACAGATAATTTTGAATCTAGGGGTCGTCTTAAAGCAGCTCACACGAACGTGCTAACTATTCTGCGATGTTTTTATTTTCAATTCATTTTCTCTTAGGAACCTGCATTCTACATGTAGCTAGTATGCACCGGTGCTAGATCCGCCTTTGGTTATTGAGCAGATTTTTAAAGAGTTTCTGTATACCGTATATTCCAACGTAAAACTTTTATCACCAATTGTGGCACCATCCTACCCATGGGGGTCATGATTTGAACAAAATTGAATTTGTTTTTTTTGTTGTTTAAATATCCCTCTAGAAAAGTTTTCACTCATAAGGAGACATCACCACTTGTCGCGGTGGAGGGCCAAAAAAGTGTGGGATCTTTTTCATGCCAGAATCTACAAAATTAAAAGTACATTATGTACTTTCACAAAATGAAATATATGGAGATAACGAACAGTATTCAAGCTCAAAAGTCCATTATACATTACAAAATAGGAGCAGAGCAAACACGGACCTCCAAACATCAGAGGTGGGATCAGGTGCCATGGAGGAGTGAGCATCCCCTGCCGACCGGTCACACCCGCCGTGTGCTCCTTGTCATGATCGGGAAATAACGGAAAAATCCGTCGACAATTCAGTGTGTAAATAATGGCCTAACAATTAGTATGAAAAACGTCAGTCAGCATTTGACTCAATGAAAAATTGTATTTGCTGACAAGGTCATTGTATCGACCATAGAACTTACGAAATGATGACTTTAAACGAGACAGCTGATATTCTTGTTTCAAAAGTATCATTTCTTCTGATCCAGAAGTTCTTGAGAGGAAAATTTTGAAAGAGTTATTCTTAAATATTCTTTTTAAACTTTGATCACCTATTGTAGCCCCACCCTTCCCCAGACATGATCTGAATAAAAATGAATCTTCACTTTATAATAAAGCTTTTACATAAGTTTCAACTTTTCTGTCACAATGACACTTGAGAAGATTATTGAAAGATGTCACTAAATTTTCACAAATTCTTAACTATACTTCCTTGAAAGAGGGCATGACCATTAATTTGAACAAACTTGACTCCCTTTATCCACGTTTGCTTTCTGGCAAGTTTGGTTGAAATTGAAAATGGCCTGTAATTCCTGAGAAGAAGCTGAAAATGTGAAAAGTTTACCGACGGACAGACGGACGACAAAAAATGTGATCAGAAACGCTCACTGGAGCTCACTAGAGCTATCAGCTCAGGTGAGCTAAAAATGTCAACCCCTACACCAATTATATCGGCACTCGTATGAGAATTAAGCAAAAAGAAATGAATTCCAGATAACATTACTACTGAACAAATAACTTTCAATCTCATATCCATGTATATATAATGAAAAAAAAAGAATAGACTGATTTTTCAGATATCTCAAGAACTACGGTATTTTGACATATCATAGTCAAGAAAACATATACTGGACACAATTTTCTGAGCAACACCATTTCTCCCTACAGTATATTGCGAGTAATGCTAAATAAATTTGTTTACTTATTTACATGTATCAGCCAAACACTTTGTCTATCCTTCTGTCTGTCTAGCTGTCTGTCTGTCTGTCTCTCTCTTTCTCTGTGTATGTGTGTCAATATATATCTCTCTCTCTCTCTTCACGACCTTAGTAAATATTCAGCACAATTTATCGGCGACAAAATGTGCAAATGTTCACAGTACACATTGTCGCCGACGGCAAAACGTGGCCATGCTTGACTGTACATTCTGTCTTCCATTACGCGGGAGGAAAAAAGGCTCGTCTCGGTACAAATTGTCGCCTGCGGCAATATGTACCGATGGACGACGATATGTGCAGTCAGGGTAGGTACATTTTGTCGCCGACGACAATATGTACAAAACGACAATATGTACCGTCTCACCCCTCTTTTTGATGGCATGTTTAACAATACCTAAAATAACATAAGATCGTCCTTCGTAGTGTATAAAGTACAGTAGCGACAACGGACCGATGACAACGGACTGAATTTTCGTATCTTGTCATGACAACGGACAAAAAAATGAAATAAATCAAAATTTTCAGTTTTAATTTGTTCTCATTTTTCTTTAAAGGCTTACAACATGTCTTAATACTGTCTGTACCAATTCGTGTGTATATTATATATTCTATTTACGAAAAATATAACATCTCAGTAGGAAATAGAATCAGATCCACAAGTGATTTCAACAGTGTTAATGTCGCCATCGCAAACTCTTCTTTTATTACTTCTTTTTAACGGCTGAAATTCATACAACACCAAAAAGGGTGTCAGCCCTGTTTCCCATTGCAATTTCAGACATTTTTATAGATAATTTAACTTGAAAAATGAAAAACTTCTCACAGCCTGTCTTCTCAAGTCATGACACCGGACGGATTTTATCATAACCTCACCTGTATGTTCATGACAACGAACCAGTTTCAGTGCTTAACTTTAAAGGTTTCTGACAACGGTACTGTCTAAAAACTTAACGTGTTCCTGGCCGTGTAAATTTTACAACGTATCTAAACTCTTGTTTATGCATGAAGTTATAAAAATTCTTAATGAAAATAACATAATATGTACTTGAATCTACTTTTCTACTTCCTCAAGAATTCTTCTTTACTGTAAGCTGTGATATTCATGTCTTTTCCAGGAAGAGTACCGGAAGTGTTACCATTTGGTTTCCCGCTCTGTTTCCTCAGAGGAAATATATGTAAATTTCTGAAACCATCGATGACACACTTATGTACTCACATCATTAATTTCGTGTTTGATGTGTTTTTCATTTGTTAGCATTTAGTATACAATATTAATCTTTTTATTTCGATCATCTGAGGTTAAAACTGAAGAATAATGTTTACATACTCATAATTTATTGTTTTAAATGCATGAATGCTCAGAATTGATAGTGTCAGTGTACGTTTGTAAAGGACAATCTACAATTAATCTGCGATGTTGAGGTTGAATCACAAGATGAAGAAAGGTTTGATCAACAACCTATAGTTAGGAGATACAACCTGCGGCAAAAGGAGAGATATTTGTTTTATGTTTCCTGAGTGGCTGATATGTTTGGAGTAAGACATTAATGAGGGCTTTTATCTAAATAAAATTTCATTTCTATTCATTTCTGTATGATGGAAATTTCACTAAATTGACAAATCATAAAAATAATTCGCAGCATTATGATTATTATTGTTGTTTTTATAACATGTATAACTATTTAGCACTATTTAGCACAGATGATAACTAAAAAAAACTATACTTAATGAATCACTGTCTAGTTCGTTGGGTATGCCAGGGCATCAACGATAGTTGGAAACGGGATATTTTGCATAACGGGCGAAGGCACAAATATTTGATTTTTCTTTCTACAGTAACGATTTACTCTGTGTCTATTTTCATCGTTTTTATTGTTTTCTTATTGTTTTGAGAATGCGTTATGAATACAAAAAATCACATAAAAAACTTATCTCAGCTCTGGTGTTCGTGGAGGGGTGTAGTTTTAAGCACAACCGGCCGTGTACGGTATAAATATATGTTCTTACTTAAATGAAACTTCCGGTCTTTCCGCAGTAAATTGTCAAGGATAACATTATAATATCAAGATTAATCCAGAAAATCACGAGGCAATTTTATATATTTCAGTTCATTTTTTCAATTCGGAATTTAACATTACAGATACAAACATTCTGACATGATGCTTTTAAAGTTTATCAAAACTTTTTTTCAATCAATTTTTCATTATCCAAAAAGGCATATATATTGCTCAGAACTACTTCAATTGATTATTACATTTTACATGACGTGTTCACTCAATCTTCCAATGTAGTCTATATCCTAACATTTTTTTTTGTTTTCGTTAACCTTATATTAGGTAACCCTGAGGGTGTACATGTTTTCTACAAATAGTTATCGTGAAAATTCTTTACTGGGGATATACATATTTACACTGAATTTACAAACTACATATATTTCTAAATTGAGGAAGCTATTGACAAATGGAAAAAAAATATCAACAGTCTCGTTTAAAGTCAATATTTTGCAAAATCTATGGTCGATACAGTGACCATATCATCAAATACGATCAATAATTAATTCGAATGTTGACTGACGTATTTCATACAAATTGTTAGGCCATTATTTTCACACTGAATTGTCTAGACGGATTTTTCCAATTTCCCAGTAATGACAAGGAGCACACCTGGCTGTAACCGATCGTCAGAAAATGCTTACTCCTCCATGACACCTGATCCCACCTCTGATGTTTTAAGAGGTCCGTGTTTGTTCTGCTACAAATTTGTATTTTTTCCATGGACTTTTGAGCTTGATTACTTTTCGTAGGCTTCATATTTCATGTTTCCTGTGGAATCAATATCAAGGCCACAGGGAGCATCTAAATTCGTAGATCTGTAGGTCCAAAGAACAATACCTTCTTGTGACAATGTTTTGATGCAAAGTGACTTTATACTACTGTCAATAATATCTCCATTGACATTCACAATCAAATTACAAACGTATTTTTCTGTTGAAAAAGTGCGTGTTGTATTTCATTTATCATTAAATTCGATTATGTAAAAGTAACATTCAGCATACAGTTTGTCTCTAAAACTCTCTAAAGCGTAGCAAAGCTCATCCGTCTTTAGTAGTTCTCAGTATTTTGAATTCCTCTAATGATAACATTTATCAGAAGGACAGCTGACAAATAACTTTTCTCCTCCCAAACGTATGTTGCGAGCATAACTAATGTCAATTTTGTTTAAAAGCTTGAAGTCTTCGCTGTAAAAATAGTACAAAACACTGTTATTATGATATTACCGTTTGATAGGAAAGTTCCATCACCAAAGCGATTGTCTTCTTTTTTTGTCAATCTTTGGATAATTTACGTTCAAAATTGTTGCCGTACCATACTCATTTTCTGCCAACTCATCTAATAAATCACGTATTCCAGTAAATTTAGAGACTGTCATATTTTGATTTTTTTTGTTCCATTTCCCTGGCAGCTGTTGTCTTTATATATCCATACATCTTGCAAGACATCCTCATTCATCAAAATCATAAACCAATCCATCGAATTATGTATATTAGTTTATTATACTTTCATATTAAATACTAAAATCTGGTTGGTTTAGACACATTTAACAATCCGTAATGTTTCCCTCAGCGTTAGCAACACACTTGACAACGGGTAACATTACGAAAATGTCACATGCGTTCAAATCATGCGCGTACGGTTCACCGTAGAATTCTCAAAAAGTCAGTTGTGCATTTGAAAAAAGCCGAATAAACGACGTCAATAAAAGCTTGCGTCCGATGTAGCTTACCTGAAAACAACAAACGACAGACGAAACATCCTTGCGAGTGCAAACTTAAGATGATAAAGGACTTTTTGAGTAGCAAACAAACAATAAAGAGGTTGGTTAATCTTTTCCGAAGCTTTCTTATTGAGAAAAATAGAAGCGGGGAGTTTGAAAGCTTTCTAAGCGTGAACTTAACGACGATCTCCGATTTTTTTTTATGACATCCGAAATAAATAAGACATTCAGTATAATAAAATAAATAGTGCACATTTTTAGGGTAACAGTTGAAATTGACACCCCTCGGAAAACCATTGTCAACCTCCGCTGACGCGTCGGTTGACAATGGTTTTCCTTGGGGTGTCAATTTCAACTGTTACCCTCAAAAACGCGCACTATTTATATAATAGTCTACTTGTGTGCCAAATTATTTTGACCAAAACTGTAGGAGGAGAAGCGTTTAAGGGAATTTCACAGAAATTTCTATTTATAGTAACTATGGCAACACTGTTCATTGAAATCAAAAACCGATGAACTAAATTATGTATCTTTTTGTAGTCTACTTGTGTGCCAAGTTTTATTGAAATCAGACCAAAACTGTAGCAGGAGTAGCGTTTTAAAGGAATTTAACAGAAATTTCTATGTTTAGTAACCATGGCAACACATTCATAAATCAAAAACAAATGCACTAAATTGTGTATCTTAGTGTAGTCTACTTTTGTGCCAAGTTATATTGAAATCAGACCAAAACTGTATGAGGAGTAGTGTTTTAAAGGAATTTCACCAAAATTTATATTTTTAGTAACCATGGCAAAACCGTTCATCGAAATCAAAAACCGATGCACTATGTTATGTATCTTTTGTGCCAAGTTTTATTGAAATCAGACGAAAACCGTAGGAGGAGTAGCGTTTTGAAAAAGTGTTTACAGACAGACAGACGACCAGACAAACAGACAGACGGACGGACGACAGACACCTTACTATCGCATAAGCTCTTCTGGTCTCTGACCAGTAGAGCTAATAATAATTACACCTGTCAATATAATAATACTAGTAATTCTATATTTCATTCTCTTTATAGTATTAGCCTACAATTTTTAAGAAACATTCTTAAACCAAAATAAGTATAGTTATCATTCATAGTTTCAAACTACCTTTATCAGACTATAAATATTGTTAGGTATCTAGCTACAATTTTATCAGATTCATCAGGTAAATCTAACAGCTGTGAATTATAATTCTAAGTTGTAATTTTATTGGATTATACACCTGTCAAAATTTGTATCACGCCCCGTATCAACCCTCGACCGATATCTACCTTCTTGTCTTCGGTCCTAGGGCTGATATTGGAGTCTTGCCATGTACTGGTAATAGACCCCTTTTACACTCAATATGCTTTAACAGTCTACTTTAAAAAAAACAAATAATCAATCAATAAATTATTCAATCAAACACATGTAAATGAATCAAATGTGTTAGAGATGACATTACTGACAACTTTATTTCTGAAAAATAGAACCTTTCCATGAACTTTGAAAACTCAGAAATATATTGTCTAAGTGCAAAGGATTGTCCTCGCCTAGTATACGCCTAGTATACGCTCCCCCCCCCCCCATTTTTTATTATTTTCAAATACAATGTATAAACTACAGACCCCAAGGCTTAGAACAGACTGAAAACAGAACCGAAATAATTTAATAATTTTCATAATTTTTTTTGGAATTTTTTTTTACAAACCTCCAATTTACCCTTTTGTGTAATGAAAATAAAGATATTCGAAATCAAAATTTTTTACTTGCGTCTTTCTCAGTTTATGATCTTGAGATCCCCTGATAAGAGAGACAACTTCCAAAGAATGTAAATCTAAAGATAAATGAAACGATATATTTGATATACTGTGATATCTCTACATGACAATTACATCCTTTGGCAAAAATATCTCTTTCTTCCAACATTTTCTTGTATTTTCTTTTGCCAATATATTTCATAGTTATTTATAGTTTCTATCTTAAATACCTGTATCCAGTTTTTTTCCTGTTAAAAAATAAAATATTTTTACTTTTTTATAAGAACGTAAAAGGTTGAATAACCTATAATGTGCTTTAGAAAATATTTTTAATATTATTGTATTTCTACATAAAAAAATGTGGGGGGGGGGGATAAAGAAAGATAACTCTTGCTTGAATTAGCATATTTCAATGCAAAGATAAACAAACGTGATTTTCTGACTTTAAAAAAATCCTGGCCCTTATGCACTCTCCGCAAATCTATTTTCAATTGATGACTTAATGTCTTGTACATGGAACTCTCCATTATATGCAATCACGTAACATTTTTGTTTGTTTTCGTTAATCTTTATGTAATAAGGGGGGAATATGTTTTCTACAATAGTTATCGATGAAAAGTCTTTACTGAGGATATGGATATTTGCACTGATTTTACCAGCAACATAAATGTTTCCCCTAGAATCTACATCAAGGCCAAAGGGATGACTTAGATTCGTACTTCTGTATGTCCAGAGGATACATGTAGTTCCATCTTGTGATAGCGCTTTGACGCAATTATGATAAGAGTCATTACAACTGAAACATGTGTAAATGATATCACCTTTGTCATTCACAGTCAAATTGCGAACATCTCCTTCTGTCGAAAATGTTCGAAATTAATTTCCTTGATCATCGAATTCAATGATGGAAGAGCCACACGCAGCATACAGATTGTCTCCGAAACTACCTGAAGCATAGCAACCTTCGTCCATTTGAATAGTTCTTACTGTATTGAATTCATCTGATGACAATACTTGTATGAATTTACCACCGTGACAGCTGACAGATAATTCTTCTCCTTTCAAATGTAATTTACGAGGATTTTTATCTAATTCAATTTTCT